ATCGTTATACTATAAAGAGTTTGCACTCCAATTCCGACACATGTCTGTCTGTAACTCTGTATTGAAACGAATGACTGATAATCAATACATATTTTTATCTGTTGTTGTATTCACATTTATTTATAGTAGTGGTAATAGGCGTTAATGTTAACACAGGTTAGCTAAAGTATTCTATAACTAATATAAATATATAAATGCTAAACACACTTGTACTAATATAAATATATAAATGCTAAACACACTTGTATTAACATTAACTTAACTTACATTAAGTTAAATTAACTTGTAGTGCATTATAATGATTATATGTTTATGAAATGAAACGAGTCGATTATATAATATTAATATACAATTTATATGAGATTATTAATAGAATATAATCAATAAGTTAATGCCAATTTATAATTTAATATGATACAAATGTATGACATTTTATTTTTAAAACTATTAACTAGTTTTGGTTGGCTTTTACTGGATTTGTAAAATCATATGTCTCATACTATAAACACACTATATTCATATCATTTACTAATTTATTGACATTATTATTCTTATTTATATTTTGTAAATATACTAGTGCAAAGAATTATTAAATAGAGTATATTTATTGAATTATAGTAAAGCTACTAAGATTTAAGCCAGCTACATTAAAAACTTTAAAATCATACATTATGAATTATAAATCTATTAATTTAAATTTTTATGATAATTCTTATAACTACGGCTCCAAAGGAAATATTGGGAGAGAATTTGCGGCAGAATTTGTCGGTACTTTTATAATGAATGTGAGTTTTATTATGATAGTAGTATGTGTGCTTGCTCATCTGTCTATTGTCATGTGTTTGTCTGCAGCTAATGGTGACGGGATCTGCCGCTTCTTATTCCTTAAAGTTTGGCAATTCTGTGACTGAATTGCTAGGAATAGGGTTTGGTGCCGGCGCCGGTGTGTTATTGGGCGCTTTAGTTAGTATATCTATTTCAGGTGTGTTATATTGAATTCAATTTATTGGCAATTATTAAAATGCTTATCTATCAGGAGGTCATCTCAATCCTATTGTGACCACTGCGCTGGCAATCACTCGTGGCTTTGATTATAGGAAAGTGATGTGTTATGTGACGGCCCAATATTTGGGTGCATTTAGTGCCACAGCACTGGTATTCGCCAATTATTACAATGCCATCAATGCATTTGACGGGGGAATTAGGTCTGGTTTTGGCGAGAACACCAGCACTGGTATGATATTCACAACATTCCCCAATCCAAGCGCTAGTATTTATGGTGTACTCTTAGATCAGGTATGAAATAGTGACAAATGTTATAATTTTCAATACAGTAAATAATAAAACCATGAATTGAATAGATTATCTGCGCTTCACTGGTAATGATGGCAGTGTTGACAGTAATGGATGACACAAATCTTCAAATACCTAAATATTTAATACCAGTCCTCATAAGTATAATCATATGCGGAGTCATTGTCTCATTTGGTTTCAATTGTGGCGCTGCTCTAAACCCTGCGCGTGACCTGTCGGCCCGCGTTTTCCTATTACTTGTCGGTTATGGCGATGATGTCTTCCTGCCCCTCAATGGCCTGTATTGGCTCATTGGGGGCATTATTGGACCCCATTTGGGTGCACTCGTCGGATCTGTCATCTACCTAATGCTCATTGACATACAGCACAAAACTTGTGAACACATTGTACTCCTTAAATGAAACTTGTTTATTAATAAGTTATAACAACAGACCCCTGATATATTATAATAAATATATAAATATATTTAGTTTACAATTTAATCATATATTTAATTTTGTTAATTACCTTTAATAAATGTTAATATTATATAATATTATAATCATAGTGTACAATTA